TACTATTCATATACGTGCCAATACATAGACACGCACTGGTCACCAAGCCTGTGCAGTTGTATGTATTGTAAATTTTGCACACAGCAACTCGTTCAATACATACAACTGCACAGACTTGGTGACCAGTGCGTGTCTATGTATTGGCACGTATATGAATAGTAGCCACTTGAGTGTTCGCATAAGCAATAACACATTTTCCCCTAAAATTAGTGTAAATTCATCCAAAAACGGTTGAAACCGCAATTTCGCACTGTATCTAGATTACTCATTCCCCTCCTAACTAGTAGGTATGACATATTTTACAATGATATATAGATATTTTCTAGGGGCTAAGAACAAGTTGTGAGATTCACATAGATTCGCATATATTCATGCGTTCGTGGCGTTGTTATTGTTGTTGTACACTCACTGCGCTGCGAATGTCTCGTATACACAATCACACGAATTCACAAATATTCGTACGGATTCGTCTCAAGCGCTTGTGTTCTGACCCCCTAGGATATTTTCATCAATACACAACACTGTTTTCGGCGTTGAGGTTGACAGGTTGCTTTAGCGAAGCTGATATATTTTTGTCTTTCTGTGCGGTGGAAATTTAGTAAAATGTTGATGATTTTTTTGTTGAATCAATTCTTCTTTTACTGTTTTTTTTATTTTAACGAATTGCATCGATTCTCAATTATCAAAGAACAAATTAACTGCACCATTAAAAATCAGTGCCATTTTTCATAAGGTAGCACACGGGTGTAATTTGTTCTTTTCAAACTTTTTTCAAAGTTTTTTGTCTTTTCTATCACTGCTCAATAATGTAAATGTAGATTCTGACAAGTTTTTTTTCCGCAAAAACTCGCATTGCAGATAATCTCTGAATATCTCTTGAATTAGCACCGAAGTGCTTGCATTACGTGTATACGCGTAAATTCGTCGTAAATATTTTGCGTTAAATTGATCCATTGAAAATGTATTGCAATGCGAGAATCCGCATGCATGTTTGATAAGCGATAGGTGAGATTGACTGTGATAACTCATTGCGGAGCCCATTTCTTGTCGGGGTTTTTCTATCCCCGATAAATATAGCTTTGGGTCAACGAATTAGAGACGGGGAGAAGCCAATTTCATATTAACATTCAATACTTTTTTTTTAAATCATCTCACTTTAAAAAAACATTTTTGTTGTTATAATTTTTATTTTTTTCTTCATTGTTTTACTATGGTTGTGTTGCTGCTAAAATCCAGTCTTATAAAATAATATAATCAATCAAGTAGATTGAAAATAAAGGGAATGCTTTTTATCAACCAAAAGATTTAAAAAGCCTGGTCAATTTCGGTAAAAATATTCATCCGATCATGAGGATGTTGATTGCTACAATAAAGAAGTTCTAAAACTATTTTCATTACATGTAGTTATTCTTGGACTGCATGGTGCATGGCACTCATACAGAGTGGGCAGTGGAGTGTTTTTGATATCAATCAAATGAAAAGTGTCTATTTTTAATATAAAGAGCACAAAATTCTGCGTACATTGATGGCATTAACACAACACATCGATTGCTATTCACTATTCCCGAAGCAAAAAAATATGTGTAACAAATACTTCCATCTCCATTTCGTCGATGTTAGTTTTACATCAATTCTTTAAATTCAGATCATCGAACAGCAAGTAAACTCATTCCTAATATACACTGATATCACTTTATATCATGAAGTAAACAAATATTCAACGGAGTGAACATCTCATTTGTTTATTTCTCCGTTACAGTAAAACTCTGCTGCATGCGTATATTCTATTTTTAGAACGAACACGATGCCGCCGGTTCATTGCGACCAGCGGAAGAAGAAGAAAATAGTCAGCAAAACGGGAATTGAAGGAGGAATCGGCATTCCAGCGATAAAAATGACATTGAAGTCTATCGTTCGACCACAATACTATGAAGAAGCCAAAGATTGGTTCACCCAAAAGTCGAATGAATGCACCAAAATCTTCGCCTTAGCTTCGTTGCTCTTTCTTTACAAGAGTAAGAGTGCCAACGGAAACAATGATGCGGAATCCTTCAGTGATGATGGCATAAATAATGTGCATGGACGTCGTTGTTTTAGGAGGATGGTTCTCGTTTTTTATAGCGGTCCTCGCAAATTTTCCAAAATAATCGAAATGTCCTCGTTTTTTCGGACGAATTTTCTTTAAAAATTCATAAAATATGGGAAAATTCAAGAAAAATGAAATTCAAATTGGATAAAATGATTATCCCTCTAATGCATACAACCGCCTCTAGACGGGCAACATTTGAACGCCTGTAGAACGTAAATCGTACATCGGATCACATTGCTTCAAAGAAATTTTTTTTTCGTTAATGTTTTTTCTTTATTTTTGTCTTTGGCAATATTTGTGTATGTAGTGTGATTGTAAAGTTATAAACAAAAATGTGTGCAAAAACAAGAATTTGACAGAATAAATTATTCGAACTTCAAATTAGACACATTTTTGACACTTTTAAACAATGTATTTGATTGTTCTCTGATGTATGTCAATCGCATTTCCTGACTGAACCACGAGGGATCCAGCATTATGAATATTTTTTAAATTATCTGTGGCCAAAAATCAACCAAGAACCAGTACTCCCAGCCCTAGGAAAAATTAATGCATTAGAGGGTTACTCATCATCATTTATTTGTCATTAAATTCATTTCATCCTTGATTTTCAAATAAATGTTGGAAAAGTCTTCTTTTTTTTCGTTTCGAAAAAAATGTCCTCGTTTTCCTCGAAAAAAATCTGTGCACATTAGGCATAAAGATAATTAAGGATTGTTTTTATGCAGTTTTACAATGGTAATAGCTTCTTCGGCAACCAGATGCAATACCTCTACAAGCAATACACCACGAATTTGCGTAACAATTTGGAGATGCATACGGAACCTACATTGCCCCAAATAGTCAAGCGGTATCCATTATGTACGAAGTACCGAAAAGTCACCTGGAACGTTTGATAGACGATGGAGTCGTGCGGGAACGGTATCGCAATGGTGTGTACGTATACGAGATTGAGATTAATCCCGGCATTTGTATTTTCAACAGACAAATCGCAAACCATCCATCATTCATATGGGAGCTGTTGATATGGCGGCGAATTCTCCGATCAGAATCAAGAAACATGTTCGTTGTCCAGGCAATCGTAAGTTGGCAAAGAGCTTCAGAAAGATTCCGAATACCGTCGTGCTACAAGTCAACGAGAACAGAACATCACAGCTTTGCGGTAGATGTTTCACACCGTTCGACATAGTAATAAAGTTGGAATTTTATTCGGAATTTGAATTTAGAATGAAAGTAAATGTGAAAGTGAAGAAATATTGTACTAATGAAATATTGTACTCTTCGGAACTCAGCTAAACTTCATGTTTACAATTGAACGAATCAGATAGAATAGAAATAAGAAATGTTAATTAGAATAGATTTTTTTCAAACAACATTTTTGAACTAGCATATTACATACTGCTTTAACCCAGACTGAGCACGGGGGGTTGGTATCATTCATAGGTTTCTGTGGCACTTTTCATTTGACTGATATCAAAAACACCCTAGTGGGCAGTCATCGGAAGTGAGGAATTGACAATATATAAATTAAAAATGTCATTGATTAGTTAGTTAATATTTTTTGTATGATTTAGATTTTAAAACACACAGATAGATACGAGCCGACCGTGTTGCAAATTAATTGCGTTGTCTCGACTTATTGATGGGTTTTAACTGTTACTTAAATATGATTTTTCCAAAGAATAATTTCAACAAAAATCAAGAAATGTCCGTTTCATTTCGGGCTCTCACTTTAATACTAAATATAAATATGACAAACTTACTTAACAATCACTTTAGATATCTAACCTGTGTATATTATTTATATATACGTCTCTTTAAAGTATTTTGATTTTAAAATTTTTTTGTCTGATTTATCACTTATAAAACTCTATTTTATTCTGTTTTTTTTTTGTTAATGTTAAATTTCCGTTGATTCCCTATCGATTTGATCGCAACGTATTTCATTTACAAACCAATCAACGGACTTTTAAAATTAACAACAACGCTTTCGATTTTATAATACATGTGCTTGAAACGTAAACTGCATACACATATTTCATTGAAAACAAACCAAAATTATGTGAAATTGCCGAGGCAATCTCATCATCGTAAGACGAGGTGCATTGTTTGATTTTACAGTTCTTTTTTTCTTCAAAGGTTCACATGTTCTCCCCAAGTTTCATAGTTAATTTTGATGGTCTCAAAACATCGAGAGTATTGTTTTTTTTTTTAAATTCTGGTTATCATTTTTTTTGGTTATTTCTCATTTGTTTTTGATGTATATGTTAAAAAATCTATTCATCTGTTTTGTTACTACTTGCAAATATTCACAAAAATTTGGCACTGGGTTGTCCGAAATATTTTTTTTTCTCAATAAGATTCATTTACAAAAAAAAAAAACGTTTTCTATAGAATATATACATTTATAATTTTGAAAAAATACTTTTACCTAAACTTTGTATCCAAAGAAAGAGAAACAGTTCTTTTTTAGATCGTCTTTGCTAATAATAGAAGTGTACGTGAGATGTCCTTTTTTGTATGTTTGATTTGTTGGGAAGATTGTATAAATATGTGAATGATGAATGTGCGATGTAATCGTGATTTTCCTGCATTGATGACGTAGCGTTACATCGATAAGATGCGATAAGATTAAACAGCTATTGAATAGTCAGATGGATTGTTTTCGGGTTCAATGGATTGGCGTAGTTGATTGTTACTGTTCAGATTTGGAACGTCGTCAACTTTGTTGGCTATATTGGCAATTAGATTTGGTCGTGACCAGAGCGATGAACGTATATCTAGCTTAAGTTTTTTCAGTGTATCAATGTCACATTCGGCTTCGGATAGCTCAGCTACGCATGGCGTTCCGGATTCATTTGGAATTTGATGATGATAATTTCCGATTCCACCAATTGTTGGCAATTGTAGAGGTAGAAGATTTCGCATTGTGCCCCTGTTCGCATATGAATTAGTTGCTCTTACATTGAATATGTTTGAATTTGTGTATTAGTGTTTGTTTTTTTTTTTTATCTGTATGACTTTATGGATGTTGTTTTTTTTAAATCTACTCGTTTGCTTGTCGTTAAAAATCGATACGAAACACAAAAGTTCTCGTTCATCTTCTTTATGTGAATCTTTGGTGAGTGATTCTTTTGGATAATAGCGAATTAAATCATTATCATTTCAGGAATTTTAATGAGGCTTTGTTCTCATTCTTTTTTTAGTGAAACATTCGATTCTTTTGTTTTTCGGAGCATTTAAGAATGTGCGTCTTGTCAGTGTGTATGTGTTTTATTGTTTAGATGATGGTTTTGGTGTATTTGTTTTGTGTCGATTGGATTGTATTGTGTTTGATTGGATTGGAATTGGATTGGATTTTTTTTTCTGTATCGGATTGATTGATTATAGACTGTTTATGATTGACGTGCGATGCAGTGAGAAAAGGAAGCAAAGTCAAAAACAAACAAAAGCATACGACAGCCCACGGAGAAGCATTATTATTAAAAATGAATTTAATTTTATTGGTGCGTGGTTGTGTAGATGGTGCGATGTTGAATTGGCTTAAATTGACTCGACATGCGGGAATAATTGCTTTTTTTCAGGTAAGAAGCGTTTCGTGGAGGGGATGATGATAGCAATTGTGTGGCTTGCTGTGCTGTATCAGTGGTCGGATTGTGATGGAGAGAAGATGACGGTATTTCAGAGGATAAATTTCTGTGTCTTGGTGTTGTGTTTGTAGTATATGTGGTATTGTTGTGTTGATGGTACCTGGATCTACCACGACGTGGCAACGACTTCTGCTCCGACATGGGCGACAGATCAGACGATGTACTTGATTGGTTGCCATGATAAATAATACCTAAATAGTTGTAACGAGCGAAAACAAACAATCACTCTTATTTGATATTCTGGATTTGTGCTAGTTTGATCAACGCTTACTATGTTTCATTTTGCCATCCAATTGATTCGATGATTCAGTTCGACTTGATGTCAATGGATCTTGGTCTGAATCTGATTCACTCTCTGGTTCTGTTTTGCGAGAGTGTCGTCGCCGATTTTTCGAATTCTGTTAAAAATCGAATTCTGTTAAATAAACATGTACACAACAAAAATCTAAACAACTCATTAACATGTTAACCAAAAATCACATTTTCGCATTCTAAAATTCAATATAAAATGAAATTCACTAATAAAATCCAATTGAGAGAAATTAAACGCACAATATTATAATAGTGTGATGATTTTGAATTATGTTGGCTTAGTACCGCTGGTGGTGGCGATGCGCAACCTTCCTGTAAAGCTCGCTCATGGTACATAAACGAATGTAGCAGTGTATTTGCCGGACCCGGATGAGGTTGAGCAAGTGTACTGGCTTCAGATAGCTGAAATGTTGCATATGGCGATATGTCCTCTGGTCCTACAAACGAATCAAAAAACGAAAATATTTGTATTGAACGCTCTAGCTATCCGCAAAGTTCTTTGTCCAAATTAATGCATTTAACAGCAATCAATTTACCTTCAGGTATTTTATCGCCCGCTTGGTGAGAAACTTTATGTATTGTTGCGTAATAGCGTTCACGTTGAGCTGCTTCGCTATTTTCACGATTTTCTTTCGTTTCTTTTCGAACACGATTTTCCCGACCTATTTATTCAATAAAGTGTTTGTACCTCAGTATTCAATAAACTGTTACAAGCATCTTCATTGTTGAGAGAAATACTTACGGTTTTTATAGCAAAGATATAGTGATGTGAGTAAAAATGTAATTCCAGTGACCGAAGTAATAATAAGTACAGTTAAAAAGTTCGCATTGTTATAAAATCCAATAGCTGGTGGTCGCCTGTGAATCAGTTCAGGCGGTGGTGCATCTATATAAATAAAGACAAATTAATGATTTATTTTTCATTTGAATATCCATGATATTCGAAAAATTCACATACCGCCTTCTTTAGTGAGTGTAATGAAATTGTATTCAGCACTTGACGATCCTGCCACATTGTGAGCTTCCATTCGCAATTGATACAATGTTGTGGGCAACAATCCTGATAATGTAAAGCGGCGTTGAGGTTTTAAAGCGTTTGAAACGAGAATCCACTCGTTTTCAAAACGATTAGACATCATTCGATATTGGAGAACATAGTAAATGATTGGACATCCATTATCTGGCCAATTGTGAAGGCGGAGCACAGCTGTCGTTGAATTTGGTGATATGAGTGTAGATGCAGCTGCATTATGATTGTAGATTAAAACAATAAATAAATATATGTTTTTTTAAATAAATAAATGGTTAAATCATAACTGACGGAAAATTGGCAAAAAAAAACAGAATTAGATGTAAAATAAATAATTCTGACAGAACTGACAAAATTGGAACATACATAAATCCAACAACGCCATAAAATTGATCATTTTCGCAATAAAGAGGTTATTCAAGGAAAATTCCCTAACATAGAGAGTGGCGCCACAGCATTCCCATAAAGACGTAGTGGTGACAAGCACAAACCTAGTCTAAGGAATCTTCCGAACCGCTCTTTGACCTGAATTCAAACATTGAAATATTAATAGAATGTAGTAAAAAACTGAGCTCATTTATTTAATGAGTGAGCCGCATCGATATTTATTTACTGAGTGACCGCATGCGAATGAGAAGCGAAAGAGAAGCGCGCGCAACTCCATACAAACGAGTGAACGAACGAACGGTATAGCATACACTTCGTCATTCCGTCGTTAGACTACGAATACAAACACAATGTTTCATTGTGTTCGTGTCTGTATTCTAAGAAAGAATGCATGCGGAAGAGACATGCGGTCACTCAGTAAATAAATATCGATGCGGCTCACTCATTAAATAAATGAGCTCAGTTTTTTACTACATTCTATTAATATTTCAATGTTTGCCTAAATTAATTTAAATTGCTTGCAATTGTCAAATTTATTGCAACAAATGTCAATTTTATACCCATTTTGTTAAATTTATGATCCAATTTTGTCAATTTTTTTTGCCAGTTTTGTTAAAATAATTTTCTCTTATACTTTGACGTTTATCATAATCAAACGAATGAAACGAGAGCACGTAGTGCTACTATGTTTCACTACGTATCCAACGTGACTGAGACATTGACAGTTCTCAACTTCGCTAAGTATTGAGTATTGTAAAGTTCTCATTCAATCATAATAATATTAGATGTTTGTCTGCTCTTAATTTGGTTCTAAGTTTTAAAAAACGTAATTATTCGCAAAAACTAAATTAACAGAATAATATATGGTTAAATATTTCCACTGAATATTTCATGAATTCAATAAATGAAAGATATCAATGAAGTTTTGTTTGGTATTGTGTTGTTGTTGATTCAATGTTAGGTTATGTTCAATCTAGACTCATTTGGGAAGTGGTTTCCGTATGGGATTCGTAGAGCCGCCATCTGAAATATATATGGGAAAGATAGTGGCGCCACGCAGCCAACCAAACGAGATAGATGGTCAGCTACGGCTGACGCCCGTTATCCAGATAATTTGCGTGCGGTGAACGCATATAGAACGCTTCGCTGCCGCCGACCGATCAATTGTATTTTGAAAGGTGGAAACCAAATGTTCAATCAATGAAAAAGAGACAAATCCATATATAACGTTCGGATACCACCTTCCAAAATACAATTGATCGCTCGGAATAATTCCGCATTATTTTTGGGGATTGTGTTCCAGAATACCGGCACAGACATTCCGTTTTTGTGACGTGCGATCCATCCAAATTCATGATAGAATCTATAATTTTTCTGACTTTGTGACGTGTTATCCAAACAAATTCATGGATTCTATCATAAATTTGGATGGATCGCTCGTCACAAAAACGGAATTTCAGCGGAGTTGCTATATGCGTTCACCGCACGCAAATTATCTGGATAACGGGCGTCAGCCGTAGCTGACCATCTATCGCGTTTGGTTGGCTGGCGCCACGCTTTATTCTCATACTTCATTTGTGAAGTTTTAGAAGAAAGTTCTTACGCTGACATCAATGTTATTACATCAGCTGTATGGTCCCATTGGTTGTGTTGTTATGTTTATTGCGACCAAATGTGGCTTAGTAAAACCGAGTAAAAATATATTCTTTTAAAAAAATCATTGTATGTAATTACTATTATATATTATTAGCTGGAATATTCAGTGATTACGTCGAATTACACCTTTTAGTCGACAGCAAAAGAAGCCGCTATCGATTGCTATCAACCGACACAATTCCAGGTGCAATTCGTTCAATTCAATATTATTCCGATTTATTCAAGTACAGTCAATTGACGATGTTGCTTACACAGTAAACACGATGGTACTAAAGCAAGCACTAAAATCCGATTGACTGTACTCGAAAAAGTAATTTAAAAATTACATTCAATGATTTTTTAAAAGAATGTAATTTTACTCGGTTTTACTAAGCCACATTTGGTCGCAATAAACAAAATAACCTAACATTGAATCGACAGCAACACAATACCAAACAAAACTTCATTTATATCTATCATCTATTGAATTCATGAAATCCAGTGGAAAAAATTTAACCATATATTATTCTGTAAATTTAGTTTTTGCGAATAATTGCGTTTTTTTTTTTCACTGGAGAAAATCTGCCTACAAAACATAAGAATAACTTTCACGCGTCGACTATGCGGCACAAATATATGTGCTCAATATTCGACACAATCGGACAAGTACTTTGCGCTGAGCGGCGCTGAGTACGTTTGACAGGCGCGTAGTGAATATCTGATTTCTACGCGTTTCACAGGTCCTATCATAATATTAGCGCCATCAAGTCCATGGAAGATGAACTATGCAATACTATAGGGGCTAATATTTTTGAACGTTTGAACCTTTTCAGAGCGTTCAAATCTAGGGGTTTCATTCAAGGCTTGAGAAATGTGAATATTTGTGAATATTGTGGATATTTTTCTCATTGAATCATCGTCAAAATTTCGATTATATGTGAATGTTGTGAATTTTGTGAATATTTTGAATCAAATTTCCAAGATGGCGACGAATTCAAGATGGCGGCTGATGAGAACGCCTGAACTGTCAAATAAGAAAGACTGAATATCGGTGAATATGAGTGGATATTCTGAATTTAGCTCAAAACACACCGGAATTCATGAACTTTTGAATGATAAATTCCCCTAGGTTCAAATGAATGCATTCGGAACTATACGAATAAAAGCAGCATGACACAGATGGCGCTTTATTCAATGCATTCCACACACATTGTGATTTCGGTTAACGAGACGAAATAAATGATAGTACAAATTAAATTCGAACAATAAAAAAATCTAATTTAATTTATCAATCACGGACAATTTTGCAAACTTGTTGCACATTGAAATGATATTCGATAAGCAATCGAATATTGTTGATGTCGAATACATTGCACAATATTCATGATTTCGGAATATTTTTTTTAATTCCCCCAACAAAAGAATTCAAAATGAGTTCTCTTGAGTTTTTTGGTGGCCTTCTGAAAATGAGTGGAAAACAGTGCACAAGAGAAATTAATTAATTTAAACAGAATCTGAACAGCGTAGAATGAATTGTAGAACCTAAACTTGGCAGCCTTTCAGCGTAGAGTAAATTGATTGGTTTCTCCTGGGTGAAAAGGGAATACTCTGAAAAATTTTTGTTGATTCGTGGAGGAATCAATCCAATTCTATTATAAAACATTTTCAATCCCAGGATATAAGAAAAAAGGGTATCACACTCACTGGCGTTTGCAATACTACAACAAAATAATAAATTAGTGTAAAATTAAGAGAAGGAGAGACTTAAAGGAGCATTTTTTGCTAAGTATGATGTCGAAAACATATGAACAATACAGTCTTGGAATTAATACCCTCTATACCATAGAGCCAAGGTACCAAATTCAGAGCTAAGTAATAAGTATACTTATATTAAATATCTTTCTAATATCAAGTCGAATTCAAAACAAGTATTTACTGTCACAACTTTTAGATAATTTATGTGCACATTTTTGACATTTAATATAGTGCTTATTGCCACCAACTTGAAATAATATTATCACCTTTAATTAATCGCATTTTCTTACCTGTTGGAACGCCGGGTGCCTGGCCCTGGGTTCTAACATGTAGTGTTGTACTCGATGGCGACGTTCCTATTTTGTTATTGCAGGTCAAGTAAACCTGATAAGTGCTTCCACACATTAAACCCTTCAATTCATGGCTTGAAGCGTGACGAGACAAGGTCATTTCTTCGAGATTTCCATGACTTCGACGATAATACAAAGTAAACCCAAGCAATGGTGCATTTCCATTTGATGTAACTTTCCAGTGCATTAAGATACTACTTGAAGTAGCGCTAGTTACATATAGGACAGGTGAGCTGGGTGGAACTTGGATGATCAATTGATACGTAATGACATCATTTCCGTTGGTGTTATCAACATGACAACTGTAGTTACCATTGTCAATGATTTGTAAATTAGTTAGCATTAAATCTCCACTGTCAAGTATTTGAACATTATGCGAATGCCCTTGTCTCAATAAAACGTCCCCTTTAAACCATTCACGTCGCGGATTTCCAACAGCCATACACGATAAAGTTACCGATGATCGCCAAGTGCGCACCACAGGACCACCGAATGAAATAATTTTTGCCAAAACACGGTTATTTGTTATGGCTGAGGCAACTCGTGAGCTTTTCCCTTCGCCAACACGGGTCGATGCTGTTACCCAAAATTGGTATTCTATGTGCGCTTGAAGCCCCTTCGCCTCATAATTCAAGACCTGCGCACCCAAGCTTCGTTTCTCATGATTTAATTCTTCTCTCCCATTAACAACACGAGTATAAAGATTGTATTTGATTATGTTTCCATTTGGTTCGAATGGCGGTAGCCATAAAACAAATAATGACTGAGGTGAGCTAACAACAACTTTGATGTCTACTGGCGCTTCCGGAGCTACAAAAGGAATAAATAAAAGATTTTCTCGGTAAATTGTCATTAACAAAATGCGTATTCATTCAGCAATATTGGCAAATAAGATTGATTACCGTCTTCCTCTGTTTGACAGTATAATGGCTTTGATACAACGCCATCTCCAATCCGGGTGAAAGCAAGAACCTGAATGCTGTAGTTGGTAAACTTTTTTAGTCCAGTCAAAACGATGGTCAGATCGGTGGTTTTTCTTGAGTCAATGTCATCGTTCATTCCACTTATAAGATCTGACATGAATTCAAAGTTAACTTTATAGCCTTGCAGCAAACCGTTTGTATGATGACTTGATGGTGGCTGCCATGATATTTGCAATGATTGAGATGTAAGTGGTGCACAACGGACATTTTCTGGTGGCATACTTGGTACTACGTCATTCATATGGAATACCGAATAAAAGCAAAAAGTACATCTTTTAAAATTCAATTATTTAGAATATTTCACATCGACACATACCATCTTCCAGTGTTTGTGCTGTAGCTGGTTCAGACAAGGGACCGGATCCAACTTGATTGAAAGCCTGAATAACAATATTATACCGAGTATATTTTAGTAGGCCACTCAACAGATATTCGCCTGTCCCATCTTCGCCGTCACCCGAAACGGATGTGAAATTATAATTATTATTTCCCGGTGTGGTTGACGTTTTATAGCCAATATTGAAGCCTTGAATTTCCCCATGGCGCAATTCAGCCAAAGGTGGCATCCAAGTTACTAGTATTTCAGTCGATGACAGTGGGCGAGCTGATAAATTCAATGGTGGTCCGGCAGGTCTCTGCGGCTCAGTTTTCACATGTAACTCTTGACTCGGAGCACTTTGTCCTGCCTGACCCTCGGCAATCACACGAAATATATACCTGGTAGCTGGCTTCAAATTTTCAATTAAAGCCGTATATTGTGGCTGGTCGGTGATGACAATCTCTTGCCACGGACGATCATGTTCCATATATTCTACAATATATTTTGTCACTTCAGATGCATCCGATCCGCGTGGCTGCCATTTCAAATTAACCGTACGACTTGTAATCAGCGCAGCTGTCAACGACGATGGTGCCTGTGGTGGCTCTAAAACTTGAAGCTGAACCAATTGCTGATCTCGACCATACAAATTACTGGCTTGACAAAAGTATGGGCCACTATCACTGCTATCAACGTTAACGATTTGCGCTTCGGCAGCAATTCCTTCCTGTGTCACATCCTGTTTCACTGTTACTCTGAGCAAACATAAATAATCGTCAATTTCGCATTGGGTGTTTCCCCTACAAGAATTTTGCGATACATTGAGGTTTACGTCGACATGTCGCCATAAAGTAAAACCTTCCCAAGACATTCCGCATTGCGATTCAATGTACAGGTTTACGACGGCATATCTGCGACATATCGTATTGCGTAAACCTGTAAATTCGAATCGAATCCAACTTCATCACATTGAAAACATAATTTCAAATGGTTTTATTTAAACTTTTCATGTTGCTCTTCGTTACTAATAAGAAATAAAAACTTATTCAAAATAATTATTAAGTAGAATAATCAGTCATTGCAGCCTTTAAAAATACAACATGCTGAATTCGAATGAAGTTGATCGCAGTTCATGCATTTTGTGACAACTATTGCGGAAGGTTGTCGATACGTTTGCGCAAACGTTGTCGCAAAATTCTTGTAGGGTTCTTTTCTTGCCCAAGAAGATGTAAATATTTAAAATACCTATAATTTGTCGATGGATTTAGTTCATGTTTCCCAGCACGAAGCCAAAGTACATTAATCGGCTTATCGCCATTTACTTCGCATTGCAAAATTGCTGTGTCACCCTTTTTAACGGTGACAATTCGTGAAGGTGCAGAGAAGTACGGAGATGCTGATATAGATCATAATACAAAACACGTTAAATTTGCTGCAAACTTTTTCCTAGGGGAATTTAACTCTTACGAGTTCAGCATGTTTTTTGCCAGTTTGCTTGATTCGCGGGAGTTCGACGCGTTCCTTGTACGTACTGACGCGCACGGTCACAAGTTTACACAAGTTTGTTTATGGTTTTGCGCGTTTTTCAAGTTGTTATTTGACAATTAAAACGCGTTTCAAGCTAAAAATCGGTTGTTTACGTGTATAAAGATTTTTCACATCCTTTCCAAAAGTTCAAAGATTTTTATAATTATAAAATGGACAAAGGAAATATTTTTAAAGAGCTGGAGAAAGTGTTGAAGAAAAAGTTAATCCAGATATAATAAATGGAACGACTGATGTGTGCGCGTCGTCCAGCTACAAGTTTGCACACGAACTCGCGCGCGTTCGCGCATGTTGTTTTAATACGGAACTTGTCAACTGAGTGGAATCATGCAAGTTCTCTGGTGAATGTAACAATTTCGTGCGCGTTTATATCATTTTTTTACAAGTTTTCACGTAGTTAAATCCCCCTAGACTTTTTCTCATTTCATTTTTTTCAAACATGTAACTGAATCGCCAAACTATTGCAGTTATTTGTTTGAAATGAAGGCGGGAAAAACGACGACAATGCGGAGTGCTACTTACAGTTAACCTTTAGTTGAATCACTTTGCTGATACCTGAACCGATGCCGTTTTGTGCTTGACAAAGGTAGAATCCTTCCCGGTCCTCTTTAACGTTTTGTAGTAACAGTGAGCCGTTTGCTAGTAATTTTGTAAACTGTTTTTCACGAATTTCTTCGTAATCCCCGGATTTGCTTCCTTTTTTCAGTAATTTCAATGTAATTTTGCACAGCGGATATATATTTTTGTTAGATTTATTTTTTTGGAGTTAAGAAAGTACGAGATAAAATATTTGGAATATCTGCAGTGTATTTTCTAAAAATCATATGATATGTCCTAGGGAATTTATCTTATTTAATGCATATTTAATCTGATGAATTTTATATCTATGGGTGAGATTGAGTGTAGTACATATTTCGCAGAATTCGTATTGGGAAAGAAGAGTTAGTTTTCAATAGGGTTTAAAAACGCGTAATTTGTTTCAGTGTTTCAAAAAAACGTTATTTCAAAGAGCCGTTAAATAACGCCCAAAAAAACGTTATTTTCGTTTTTTCTCGTTATTTCTGCGGTATTTTGAACTGTCAAAATAAAGTACTACAGAAAAAAACGTTTTTTTATCACCGTTTGCGGTATTTTCGAAACGTTTATAAATCCTTGTTTTCAAGAGGTCAACAAATCTTGATAGAATTTTTTTTCAAACAAGTATAGGGCTATTTTACTTTTGCAAGGTTATACCGATTGACAATACCAACAATTTTGCCGAAGTCCAATTCGATATTTCTTATCATTAAATTGAAAATTGCAAATAGTCACGAAAGAATCATACTATACTTTATCAAAATTTAAATCGAAAGAAACATACACTACTCACAATCTCACAGAAATTTCAGTCATAAAATGTTTGTTATATCTTATGTATCGAGATGCTCTGGCGGTTATAATAACAATGAGCAAATGGCTCGAAAATTAAAGAAAAAATTTCTCGCAAAAAAGCAGCACCAATAATAATAAGCACCATTCTCACCTGTAGTCTTTTTCCAAACGATGGCAGGCGTGGGAACGCCTTGTGCTTGGCAATGCAGGGCAATTTGACGATTTCGTTCCACGCTCACGTCGCTTGGTTCCACAATCCAGCGCGGAGGCACTGTAATGGTGCACGTTTTGTCGTAGTTGTGCATGAATGTTCCCCGTTTTTAGGATCGTTTTGGACGTTATACGCATTTGCCATATTTTTTTTTTTTTTTTTTGGTAATTTATTGCAATTGTTTTGTGGTAATAAATGTTATTGTGGTTTGCGTACGTCATAAAATCATTCACAAAATAGTTAAAGAAAATGTAAAATATTAATGAGACTCGTGCATACAAACTTTATATTAAATATAATTGAGGGAATCAACTGAAAATGGTTTCGTAAATTTCGGTTTCGGGTTTTCTCCTCTTTGATTCTTTCATCATAACAATTATAAAAAAAGTGTATGAGAGAGTTAGTTGTTTGGCCAAGCGTTCTTTCAAATCAATGATGATATATACGTTCATAAACGATATAGTATACGTGTGATGAAAATAATAATGCAGTTGAAATATGTGCACGCACATTTTGTTATCGTATCAACAACACGCAAAATCTATAGAACAAATATTACACTTTGAGTGTATAAAAATGGGAATCAATTTGAAAACGAAAAATGGAACAAAACGCAATGTGAGGTGCACAATTTCAAAAGGATAACGGAAAAGAAAGAAGTTCGAAAAAAGCTGATTTATCAATCAATATGCGAATGCATTTGCGGTCATTTTGTTTAACTAGTGGATTGAAACTAATGAAAATCAACCAAACAAAAGATAGAATACATCAGGGTTTGTTTATTTATCACACAGCGGGTACAAAATTGCGATTCATTTCAGTAGCAGTAGATCAAAAAGCATGTCTGGGTCTATATATGTCGATGTGAAATTAATTTGTATACTTATTTTTTTTTTTTTCGTATAAAATTTATTTCAAAAGTTTTGCTTTATGCATTGCAACAGAAAATCACGTTCATCTCATAAGACAATAAAAGGCAACAGTTATCAGTGCTATTTCAAGCTCAATATAAAATCGATTTTTGTATTGCATAAAAATTGTTGTAATAATTCTTTACTTGGTTTCACATTGAAAAGCACACCACGAAGTAATAAAACTACCAAAAGCCAATTCACTGCGGATATATGCGAATATCCATTCATTCAGTTAACGAAATGAAGAGTTAAGTAAGCACAAAAATAATAAAAGGTTGGTGTAAAAAATTGAAAACGGAATTGAGATTTTTTTTTTTTTTGTTCAAACATTTAGAAACAAAAGCAAATCGAAAAAAATGTATGAACGAGGGGTTTGTGGTTTCATTGGCAAGGGTCTAAATTTTACTGGCAGGGTAATAGCGAAAGCCGTTAATCATATAAAACATTTTGTTGAAACAGCGCTCAAACTTTTATCAAACGAACAAAAGCCAAAAATAAATATTTTTGTGGATTTGTCAGGTCTTCAATCACATAATCACAATTCCCAACAATTATCAATTCAGTCATATGTTTTATATTTTGCGTTTTTGTGTTTGTTTTCATTAATTAGCGGGGAGCACTTTCATTGTTGTCAAGTTCCACCGCCAAACACGCAAAACCATTTTCCGCTTTCTCCAAATTCGGCGAAAGTGTTCATAGTTCAAATATATTTTCCCATCATACCTATTATTTCGCATCGACAACATCACAAATCAAATGACTCGATAAACTTAAAATCTAATTGAAAAATAGACAGAATGAACCAAAATGAAATCAAATCAGTAAGAAAGTTCTTTTCTTTGTTTGCCTTATCAATATTCAGAAATCAATATGTTGAAAATTTGGAAAACAAATGAAGGAGTAGACATAGCAAAAAAAAAAACACAAGATGAAAAAGCGTGGCAAGTAAGTAGTTGTATAAAGTTGCATGTATGTTAATGTGTTAGTGTATGTGTATATGTATGTGTGTTCCAATCGACTTCACCGATTGAATTTTACGAAATAAATTTGTGTTTTCGAAAATTAAAATGGAAAATCGAAACCGCCCGTTTATATGTGGATCATTCATGAGTTTCTAGCAACAAGTGTCTGAAGGAAAGATAAAGATCTCGAAATTTTCTAAAATTTTTCAGAAGCACACGTGTGCAAGGGGGGCGGGGGTATTCCGGTTTTACCCCCCCTCTAGGATTCCAAAATGTGGACCCCCCCAGTGATTTGAAAAATTTTACACTAGATATAATGGATTTTCAAAAGTGAGGACCTTTTTTTTTTTAGTCCTCACATTTTTCGGAGACTGGTTCTACACTAGATAGAATCGATTTCCAAAAGTGAGGACCTTTTTTTTTTAGGTCTTCATTTTTTTTTCACACCCATTTATAAATTTGACCCCCCTCAAGCAAAATCATTTTACCCCCCCTAGAATTTTTGACCTTGCACACGTCTGTTCAGAAGACATCCGTCTTCTATCTGCGGAGCCTGTCCGTGCGCTCTTTGTGCCCTGGTGCAAAATTGACAGGGCGCACTTTTCTTAGGAGAAACGAAAATAATTAAAATAAAAATTTTCACAAAATGAGTAACTTTCTTGTTAGAAATGTTCTTTACGCTATTTTGGGTATCGTTCATAGTATGAACTTCATAATATGGTTTACAATACACTGTTTCGTATATATATGAAACGCACGAAAGAAAAAATCCAACGAAATTAGCAAGATATCTGCCTTATGTAATACTGAAAATTTGCGTTTTAGATACATTGAAATTTGTACTATAGATACGCCAAATAACGCAATGCATGAATTTATCTGCTAAATCGAATTGATGATGAATTCGGATTTTGACATGTTCTTGTGCATCATTGTGCTTGTGAGCAATATTGAAGTTGTAAATTCAATCGATGACATTGATTTTATTTGTAATGGCATTTTGTGTGGGAAACAAATAAAAAAAGCAAAGTTCACACAACGAAATTAAATAATTAAAATAATGATTTGAAATGAAAGTACGGAAAAAGCGATTTCACAAACGAAATACACATGAGGTGGATCAATAGATGGTCATCACAAAAATATAGTGTTTGCTTCACAATTTTAGGGAACAGGAAGGAAATGTGGTGGTACAGATTTTTCTGTAGAGGGATAGTACTCCGGATAATCTCACCAGTCCAATGGGTTGGCTTTTCGAAAAAAGCAGAAACACAATTACTAAGAAAACAAATGAACGATTCAAAATCTAAGTTTCGTATCAAAACTAAAAAGTCCAACAAAATAGCATGTTGGATATGATCTTAGTACTTGAGTTGATTTGTTTTGATACATATGGTAAGGTCTTGATAGTAAATCTCAAGTATTTACATCAAATACAAATAATATTTTATGAAAAAAGAGGTGCCTGCTGCATCCCTTCAGAATTTCGAATCGGGTGGAGACTGATAGGTATTGGTAGAGTGCAATCAGTGTTCGTCAAATGTTATTATTCGTTTAATTGGTCCTTTTCGTAGCCCGTATGGTTCAACTGTGGACTACTACGCTTATGGTGTTTACTATTATCGCCTATCTCCGCACAATTCCATGTCAAACAGTGGCTGTTGAGATGTCAAAGTAAATTAAAATGACTATAGCGCTCCCATTCGCAACGGGGACATCAATATAGTTTATACAAAGTTTCAAGTCGGATCTAAACAGCACGTCAAGTTTGAAATTTTTTTCTGTTTGCGCCCCACGCATATTCTCGGATATCCATAGTTGAACCTACGGGAAGTGCTTATAAATAAAAACTGTCAAATGTTTAACCTTCAATCCGTACATTCTTTTTTGCGATGTTACTCGTACATCCATACATTGGAATATTATTGAGATGAAATTAGGCTAAGCGAAAGTGTAGCGCGAAAATACATGAACACACGAACGAACTATATATTCGGCATTCACTTCGTCGTTAGAACACGAATACAATTACAATGGGAGTCCCATTGGAACATTGACAAAATGTATGCACATTGCACACTATCTCGTTCGTTTTTGTGGAGCTGCGCGCTATTCTTTGGCTTTGCTTCATCTCATCCGCATGCGGCTCACTCACTAAATGAGTAAAGCTATTTTTCAAATATATATCCGTAAAATTTCAATGTATGCGTACATCTGAACACTGGATGCCTACAATGGTTTTAAAATGGGAATGTAAGTTTTTTGTATGGGAGGTACCCGTAAATCGATTCCTATTGGCTTCAAACTTTCCAAGGTTTCATTGTTTGGAGAAAAAATAAGATTCTGAAAGTTACATGTTGATCGCATTTGCAGAAGTTTGGTTTTTGGTCCTCAATTTTTACTTTTCCCCACCCCATGTCGAGGATCACGCTCCGCGTGGGGAAGAAAAGTATTGGTTTCGGCCCAAATTTTTTGCACCTCCAAAATGTTGTTTTCTATCCATTTCCTATCCTCCCAGACCCAAAAAACCCCTTTTTGGGGAGTCCGAATGTATGTCCGTACGCTGTACGGTGTACGCTGTACGCAATTTTTTTCTACGATAACTCAAAAAGTTTTTGAGATAATTGCAATCTGTAAGAGCCAAAAACGTACATGTCATTTAAGGTATAGAACATCAAAATTGGCTGGCGTTTCGCCTAAATATGGCCCTTTGATTTTTTTTCGGCCAAAATTGATGATGACCGGATGATGATGATCAAAATGGTTCGTCCAAATATCATCCAAAAAATGAAAAAAAACCGTTCAAAACTTTTATAAAATCGTCAAGAAAATATTACAAAAAATCCCAAAAATGTTGGTCGATTTTCTAATTTTTTTTGGACTTTTTCGAAAGAAATTTTTTTAAAAACGTCGAAATCTGTTTTCGTTTCATGTTCTGAATTTCGAATTTTGTCCAAAATATTTCGAAAATCGTCCGAAATATTTAGAAATTCATCCAAAAGTTGTCGTAAAACTGCCCAAAATTTGTTAGAAAATTTCCAAAATTTGCAACGAATTATTATGATTTATCTATTGACACCACCAAGAAACTGATTTTTTCTTTACTGAATGAAGAAACAAATTAAAAAATTAAAAGAATTGTATGATTTCGATTTATCTTTTCAATTTATTCCGCGTAGTTCAA